CATTTATCTGTAACACAATTCCTCTGTTATACATTCATGTCGTGTATACATTTTTTAAACCCTGTCAATTATTAATTGGCACGAGTCAATTCTTAATATTAATGCAAATCATGAAGCTTAGTAAGGCTAATAATGATCTGATCTTGACTTTAAAAATAAAACATCAAAAAATCAAATTCAAGCATTCTTTACTGTCATAATAATTAAATTTTGCAAATTGTTAATCGACACGTTATTTTCAATTTTACTGGATGAACAATGACTATAGATGCTGGTGAAACTGGTGGCTATCTAAAATCTGATTGGCTGTTATATTAAATTTCACCAGTTTCACCACCATTCACCAAGAATTTCACCAGTTTCACCAGCATCTATAACAATGACTCAGGTCGATTCTTACATATTAGTCAGCTTGTATTAGATTAATATTAATAATGATGAATAGAATTCATGAACTCTTTTTGTAATAATTTTCGATGACCTTCGGTCGAATGCTTGAATTTATAACAACCAAAAAAAGTAAATTAAGCAGAAAGTGAAGGGCAGAAATCTATGAATATCTAATACATTAAAAAATTAGACATTCGATGTGAACAGGTATCAAATAAAGATTACATGTCAAATTTGAAAAATCTATAAACTCAACCCATAATACTTAAAAATGTTTAATCCGTAATATACAAAGTTTTCTAATCCATAATATTCAACAATAAGTATTAATTCATAACATTTAAATACTTGCTGATATATTAGTCGTAGGTCAGAACTATTTGGCGTTAGTTGAATTAAACGGTTAATACAGTAATACGGTTAAACGAATAAACGATTAGAAAAATCTTAGGCAGTTCCAACCTTTACTGGTCGATCCGTAATATTTAAGAGTGGTTAACCCATACATTATTTTTTTAAAAATATAAATTTAAAAGAAAGGTGCATTGCAAATGATCTCAAGTGCTGGGCACAGAATTATTAAAACCTAGAACCTGTACCTAGCACTATGTTTTAATGGTACTATGCTTTGCTTGCAAACTCTAATCGCTGCTTTCTAATTAAGGCCAATCCATTTTTTTTTTAAAGAAAAAAGTAAACAGTAACCAGGTTTAAGATTAGGCTAAATTTGAGTAAGGCAATAATTAAAAGACTTTCTATTTCATACAAATTTCCGAGTTAGAGGCTCATAGGACTTTGCCTGATTGCTGATGTAAATAAATTATCCGAGTAACTTCTGAAAACATTTGTTAGCAAAAGATCACTGTAAAAGCCACCATCTTTTAACTTTGAGTTAACGTCAATATTTACTGTGTAAAATAAACCTCTAAAAAAAGATCGTACTTTCATCATCCCTCAGAAACGTTAACTACTTTAATACAAGATCACACGTTGTAATAAAATTTTGGGGATGAATCTAATGAACCTCTATATAACGAACTTTGAATATAATGAACTTAAATTTTTTATAATAGTTCGGTATAGAAAGTGCAATGGGTCATTTAAGAAATCATAGTAGTTTTCTATAGTGAACTTTTTTCTTCTTTCAGAACCGTCAGTTCGTTATCGAAAGAGAAATAAAGCAACTTGATTGGATTCTCACAGGTGAAAAATAAACACTGGTCATCTTCAGTATCTTAGGTCACTCCAAATTTTATTCTTCGTTTAACATAACATTAAATAGTTCATATGAGTGGGGTGGATGTAGAAATACACAAATTAAAAAAAATACAGCAATTCTATTGGCTATAAAAAATATGAAATATAAAAAGCTAATACTGCAATTTGATTGGTTAATGTTATGTTTATTTTTTTGAAAAATAGGAGGAGATTATGTTAAACGAAGAATTAAATTGGTCTGGCCTAAGGATGGCTCCGAAATTCAAAAAAGGGAATTCAAACAATATCACTTGATTATTAATTATTGCTTGAATTTCCTTTTTTTGCATTTCGGAGCCATCGTTCCCACAAAAGAATTGTTCACCCCTGTAATTTTGACCAATCAAAATTTAAGGTCAGGTATAACATGTAAGAAAACTACGTTATAATTAGGGTTATAATTAGAAAAATGTGATGACTATTAGTAGAATTCCGCGAGAAACATTTCTAATTAGGAGCAGAAGGTGGTTTTCTAATAAAAATTTAGAGTTATTCTTGATGTAAAAAAGTGGGTTCGTTTATTTTTACGTTACATCTGATCTTAAAATTCGATTGGCCAAAGTCTCAAGGGGTGATCAATTTTTTGTGGTCGCAAAAATCGGTTAATCACATGAGATTTTCACGTTACACCTGACCCTGAATCTGAAAGGAAAATCAGATATAATACGACAATCAAAACAAACCTCTTGACGTGACTACAATACTCTTTTTGTTTCTCAACGGATGTTGTAAACCGTTCTAACCGTATTAGTAAGTTGTGTTTATTTATTCATTTATTCTTTTTTTTCTTTTTAACTGGCAAATATTTTCAACTAGAACGAACCGAAGTTTATTCTTAAATTTTTCTGTATTTTCCCTGCTTAGGTTTTACTGGTTCCGAAGAAGGAACTGGTTATGTACCTTTCTTGAGCAGTTGAAAAACTTAAGATAGAAGTTTACCTATAGTGATAAAATCATTTCAACTGATTTTTTAAAAAATCATCCAATTGACAATGCACATAAAACACTTCGAGAATGAATTGATTCTTTAAATTCTATTCTCCTAAATTTTCTTGATTATGATGTTCGATTTGCAAGTGAGATTCATTCTTTAACAATTCAAGGAATAAGTATATATCACTATATGCCTCTAAACTCTTGAGGCAATAATAAATAATGAGTCAAAGCTTCTTGATCTTAAAATTATTGAAGATTCAAGGCGGAACAACCTACTCCCAACACGGGAGAGATTGGTTGAGAGGACTTTATCCACCTTTCCAACCAATGAAATACACCTTTACGTGGTGGTTGGGATGAGTAGAAGAAATAATTTCTGAAACCTTAACATTTACGATTATTCATTTTGAATTTAGATTAAAAATTTATATCTTGTTTTTATATGTAAATAATCATTAAATTTAATAAAGTTTTTTTTTTTGAATGAGTTGAAGTCTTGTGTAAGAAGATCATATAAACGAAAATGTACAATTTGAATATTGTAATAATTGAAACTTTATTAACCAATTTATAAAGTGACAATATAAAAACTGATAACTGTAAACTATAAGCACTTTATATGAAATTTTATTTCTAGTTTAAATAAATGAATATTATATATTTTCGCTTATACATTATGATGATATAAAACAGAAACTACCAAATATGTTAATTATATCATGTATAATTTTCGTAAAAAATTATCTTTATCCATTATTAACCTAAATTTATTCTTAATAACGCTTATAGATTAATAAAAGTTAGTAGTAACCCTATTTATTTCCTTGGAAGAAATTTATACTTGTCATGTAAAATAGTCAACGTTTCCAGAAACAACACTTAAAAGTAATACTTTACTATTAACAATTACTATACTAGCTATGTGTAACTTTTAATTGTGACGTTTTATGTAAGCTTTGATCTTGAATTACATACATCGATATCGTTTTATATCATGAATCTAGCATCACCCTTAGAGATGGTGCTTCATATGTATACGTAATAAGTAATAATTACTTAACATTCGGGCGCATTTTTGGAATTGAGCCAAAATTAAAACCGGTACATAAAAATACTTAAACCCAAGATAATTCCCTTTTCATTATAAATCCAGGATATTCAACTAGTTTTTCTACGCCTGGCAGCTTGCCGGTAATAAAATAAAGATGTAAAATCTTAGCTGTATAAGATTGCTTACACCTGGCAGTTCGCTAGCAACTTCTTTTGCAATCCAATAACCTTTTTCTTTGAAATATGATTTAAATTACTACTCCTTGTAACTATAGTCTTTCGATAGCAACTTTATTTACACCTGAACAATTATTTTATATTATTCTATTGCCACACTTAAACCTAAAGATTATGTATGTTGAAAAAGCGAAATAGTTCTGGGACAGAATTAGACTGTTACCTTTCATAATCGTATTGGCATAGCCTATATTTAGAAATATTATATATTATTGAGGGGTCACGTATCAAATAAAGGAAGTTAGTGATAAAATTTTTTTAATTGCTTTCTACAGTACCATATTTACACGAATTAACGCACCGGGGCATTAAACAATAGTAACTTCCGACAATTATCACATTATATGTTGGGGATGATGCTGAAATTTTGCCTTATTTTATTATAAAATTTTCAAATTTTTGGGGGGTGTTTATAATAAAAGAGTATAAACGAATTTTAATAGAGTTTATTTTTTTTCAATTAAGGCCCCAGATTTCCGCATCGTCCGATTTCAGCGTCATCCCCGACATTATATAATGAATATCATAACGTCGATCATAGTCTCATAAATCCAAATCATAAGGTCAATAATAGTCTTACGACAAATCATAACCTCAAAAAGTTCAAACTAGAACTTCTAAAACTTCTAAAAATCCAGTGGCTTTAATGACTGATTTTTAGGGTTGCATTCATGCACAAGACCTAGCGTCACCAACTTAAAATTTTCGGCAAAGAAAATTTTGCAGCTAAACTAGGATTAGAGTTTGCTATTAAGTTAGGTTAGAGTGAACTTTTTTATGCCAAAATTTTGCAAGGAAAACTTTTTATTAGTGCGCAGAGGTGTTATTAACAATTTTTTGATTTTACGTTACACCTGATCTTGAAATATGATTGGCTAGTTAAATAGTGGCGAAATTTTTTAGGGTGATGATGCTACATATCGATATGCATTTTTTTTGACCAAGCTTTGATAAAGGGGGGTCAAGTCGAACCGGGCCGGATTTTCACATCCCTATAAGAAGGCATGCCTCAGCCCAACCCTAATATATATCACTATTAAATAACTTGATTTAGATACAATAATCACCGCTACAGCGTTTCTCCGCTCTCAATAACGACAAATTTATTAAAAGTCACTAATTACGGTAAAATGACAAATTCTCAAATGATACTTCAACACCAAGTTAAGAATTTATACAAACGAGTAAGATCATTTAATTTTCAAAATTTTCATATTTATCATGAATTAATTCTAATTGAACTATTGTTTCTTTCTAGCTTCTATTTATCGGCAGAGAATACCCATTGGGTTATTCATACTTTCGCCCACGCCTAAAAAAGGCATTTTTAAAAAATCGTGATTTAAAAAATGAAGATGATATAAGAAAAGCTATTGAAACTGGTGAATATGTCTACAAAGGTATGTTTTATAATTGGTAACATCATATTTAAACCAGTATTCGTTCTATTTGAATCATGAAGTGTAGAATTAGAAACAAATTCTTTAGATAGATTGGATGCCAATATACTTCTTTTCGATATAATATTTTATAATTCCCCTTATGACCACCTTTTACTTTTTTTTTTTGATAAACATTTAACCCATCTCAACTATTATACATTCTTTTTTTTTTAAGAAATTGAAATGTTATATTACTTAAAAAAGTATCGTGCACTAAAAAAATCTTATTATGACTAAAATATACCTGTAACATAAATTCTCTGTTCTCATGATTCACACACGCTTGCATTTTATATCGTACTTTACAAATCAATAAATCAATACTGGAATGAAAGGAGAGCTGAAATACATATTGGCATAATTTATACAAAAAAATATTATAAGCAGGATATAATAAGTACTACATTACCTTATCCATTTCATTTTTATATTATCTCGTAATTTTTCAGGCGTTGAAATCAGAAATCAACTATAAGTTGTAAAATAAATTCGAATTAAACAATCTGTTTATATTTTGTAACCTTAAATAATTAACATTGGAGCTTACCTTCATGACTTCCCTTAACTATAGGCCATTCAGTCCCATATGTTCACGTACTGCACTGATGACTTAAAAAACCCAAACTAGTAAAACATATAGGCATTAAAAAATAATATTTTAAAACAATATTGTAATCGGTAATATTCTTATCTACAAATACTGGATTAGTATTTATTGGTTTGGGAGATTTTGATAATTCAAAAGCCGGCTTGTATAAATAGCTTGTTTATGTGTCTGGTAGTTGAGTCATATTGTTGTAACTTGTAACCAAGTCTTTAATTTTTAACTTGTTTCGTATAATTCAGTTTCTTCAGCAGTTTGTCGGTTCTGAGATCAGCGTCTAAGCATTTTACTTATTAAATTCAAAAGTAATTGAAGAACCTTACATTTAATTTTAGGTCTATGACCTAAACAAATGGTTCTTATTAAATTTTCATGTAAAATATCATGATATGGAGGTTATTCAGTAAAAAAACTTCTACTATAATAATTTCAAAAGGATAAATACCTAATTTTTCAGTGTATTCTTTTTCGTTCATATATAATACCTCTGAAGAAGCATAACTGGCAATTTGTAGATTCTTATGTTTGCATCTTTAATTTCAAATCTTTTAGAATCGATTAGACCAATTTTGATGATCTAAACATTATTTGAATGAGAAAAATCCGCAAAAAGGTTCACTTATTAAAAACTTTTTTAATTTTTAAAAATGTAATTTTTTAAAATTTGATTAGTTGGGGTGTGTTCTGAGAAAAGGGACCAAATTGACGATTTTTTCAAAATTTGTTTTTTAAGCTTTACTAATTCAAAATTAACATAGAATCATTTCTTACTTAAGAAACTAGTTCTATTATCTTAATAAAATTTTGCAGTACAACTCTTTAAATTTTATATTTTCTTATAATTTATTATAGAATTTATAATATAAAATTTAATTTTCCGCAAACCTTTTTTTTTTATTAATTTGGTCCCTTTTCTCAGAAAACACCCCAGTTATTAAAAATGGAATTTTTTATATTTAAATAATAATATCCTGTCCGTTGGGAATTAGCGGAAACAAAGTTTCCGCTTATTCAGGGTTTATTAATTAATCTTCCCATGATCTTGATATAGTGATCGGGAGATTATTTAATGGAAATAGTAAAAAACCATGATAGAAATAATGTCTGCTATAATCAGCCAATGAATTTTCAAGGATCGAGAACCAATCAGATGGATTAGAATGTCCTAGTGTAACACGAAAGAATTTGCGATCAATTTATGATTATATAAATAATAATCGATACTGAACTCTAAAGGTTATGTGACTCTTACTCCACGTAGCCTTCCGTTGACTATTGCATATAGACATTAATTCATGTCACTACTTTGAAATATAAAATCAATGAGATATTACGATTTCAGTAACGTATTTTTCACACATTGAGGAATCCATCACAGCAGGTTCTTATAATTTTGTCGCGTCCTTACCAAGTGCCATCCTTGTTTCCATCCACAATTAACTAATATGCAACTATCGCGTATGCATTTTAAATTCGATCTTTAAATTACTTTCTTCATCATTGCATAACGTTACATTATCATCTCATCTTTACGCTTGAATTATAATTCAAACTCATTGCTGCATTGCTCTGTCAATATAGCGAAAATGAACGTTCAAACCTTTCTAAAGATGGATTCACCTTTGATCTTAGATGGTGGCTTTGCTACAGAGCTACAAAGAGTTCATTGTAAAGATCTTTCATCAAATTTATGGTCTGCTGCTTGTTTATTCCAAGACCCGCAAGCAATACGAGATGTTCATTTATCTTATCTTAGAGCAGGCGCGGATATCATTACAACCTGCAGGTTTGCCTCTTTGCGTGTATAAATTAAATAATATACAATCAACTCTCTTTCCAAATATAAAATATGCACTTAGAGAGTGCAGATTTAATAAAAACTGCATTTAAAAAAGTTTACTATAATGGGAATGATATGATATGACATTTTAGTTTGATTCTTATAAATATTCCTTTATTTCTAAAATTTAGTTATCAAGCAACTATATCAGGTTTTATGCAATGCGGATTTTCAAATGATCAAGCGGTATCATTAATGCAAAAATCTGTTACATTAGCTATTGAAGCTCGTGAACAATTTTGGACTGAATATCAAAAACAATTACATCAATTCAATAATATGACCAGGATCAAACCTTTAATTGCACTCTCGCTTGGTTCATTCGGTGCAACCCTATGTGATGGTTCCGAATATTCTGGAAACTATGGGCTCGATGTAACAACCTCCTATCTAAAGGCTTTTCATAGAGAAAGGATGCAAATATTTTATCCAAATTTTACAGATATCGATTTAATAGCATTCGAAACAATTCCATCATTCCAAGAAATTGATGCCATTTGTTCTGTATTACACGAAGAAAAAATCTCTGTTCCTTGTTGGATCTCATTTTCTTGTAAAAACGATTCATTAAATTGTCATGGTGAAACTTTAATAGAATGCATCAAACTTTGTTGTGCCGTAGATTCAATTGTTGCCATTGGTATAAATTGCACTAAACCTAAGTATGCTGAAAATTTGGTAAATTTGATTCGCAATGAAATGGATCTTCTTGGAGCTATAGATAAATTTGTTGTTTGCTATCCAGACGCTGGATGCGAATGGGATGAAATTAAAAGGGATTGGGATTCACGTACGGGGCTCTCTGTAGAAGGTAAATATAATTTTTATGTTACAGAGGTGCTAAAAAGAGATAATGTTAATTTTACCTCACTTATGCTTGCTGGAAAACCCCAAATTATTATAAAATTCCAATTTCTTTAGACAACAATTATTATTTTTTTTGCAGCAAGTATAAATTCACTGGTTTAATTTTTAGTTAACTTTGATTGAATTCAATAAAAATTGATCAAATAATTGCTGAGAAGTCTTAAACAAAAATTTAGACCAGTGGGTAAAATTATTCTTTTTTTTATGTAATCAAAACTAATAAGATAAATTATATATTTAGAATTCGGGGCTTGTGCATTATTGTGGGCTAAACAATCTAGATTTAAGATTATTATCGGAGGTTGTTGTAAAACTACACCAGAATATATTGCCAATGTTCGCAAACACGTATTCGAACGTTTTAACAAATTATAATTTATTCCTGTCTATATTGAAAATAAAAATATTTAGATCAGGATTATGCATGCAGGCTATATACTAAAATTTTCAAGAAATAAAACCAATTTTTGATGTTGTAATCCTGGCTGGTTGAAATCTTACCTATTGATTTAGTTTCGTGGATAACATTTAACAGTGACATGACTTGCCACTATGCTTGATCATTATTATTATTACCAGACATATGGGGAGCTTCATATTAAAAAGGCCATTTTGACAATTTTTTAAAATTTGTTTTATTTTATTTTTAGATAGATATACATCCAATGAAAAGATTTGCATTAAGTTACAATAAATATAAATTAAAAAAAACATGTTATGCTAAAGAAATCTAAACATAGTGCAGATCGACCTCTAGATCGAAAAGAATGTTCCAGAAACGAAGATCACCGGTTTTTTTAAATTCTACAGTAATAGTTTAAAACTACCTTTACTAATACCAATCATTTTTAAATTCTAGTGGATTGGGTTCATAACTACTAGTAATGGGAGTTATAAACCACATTCACTAGAATCTAAAAAAGCTACCGGTGATAGAGGTCTTTTGTTGAAATTAGTAAGTTGGGTTCAAAATTATTAGTAAAGATTTCTTTCTAAATTCATTGGTTTGGGTTCATAACTGTGAGTAACAAAGGTTTTCTTTTGATTCTAGCTTTGGATTAAACTACCAGTAACAAAGGGCAATCAGTAACAAAGGGATCAGTTCAAAATTGCTGGTAAAGATCTTTTTTAAATTCTGTTGGATTGGATTTATAATTACCAGTAACAAAGGTCTTCTTTAGGTTAGAGTCTTGAGTTCAAAACTACTAGTAATAAAAGGACAGGTTCAAACTACTAGTAATAAAGGATTAGATTCAAAACTACCAGTAAAAATCTTTTTTAAAAAAAAATTTTATTAGATTGGGTTTATAATTACCAATAATGAAGATCTTTATTATTTTAGTCTTGGGTTCAAAACAAGTAATGAAAGGACAAGTTCAAAACTGTCAATAAAAATTTCTTTTTTTTCAAAGTCTATTGGATTAAGTTTATAACTACAGTTAGAGGCCTGCATTGGGTCCCGCAGCCCGGCCCAGGTCTGAAGCAAAATTTTATAATTGCGGGCTGGGCCGGGCTGAAAAATTTGCAAAACTTTATAATTGCGAGCCAGTGCAGGCCTGAAAATTTGTAAAATTATATAAGAAATTT